AAGAAATAGTACATGAAAAACCAAGAATATATTTGCATTTTTTTATTTTTCTTCGCATTGTACATGTAATTTCATACGGGGCTAATTATTTTGACTTAAAATATCAATTTCATAACGTTCCCTCCAGCAAAAAAACTGCCAGTGGTGGGAGACTAAAGGAGATGAGGGGAAGCGTAAGTGGACCGGAACGCCGCTTCTGGCGCTCCGGCGAACTTGTCCCCTGTTTTCTGGCTTCATCATACCTGCTTGTATCATACCTTAACGTTTCCCATACCGTTGAGGGACCACCGTATACTTGGCGAATAAATTACATATTTTTCAAAAATAATCAATGTAATGATTAGGAAATGATTTGGAAAAATTTAGAAACGCTTTTTCATAATTTGGANTGGACAAGTTCCAACGAAGCCGCGCGCGGCGCTGTTGCGTCCCTTCCCCTCACGCGGATTAGATCTCCCACCACACGCCGATTTTACTTGCGTTGCGAGTTCAGATCCCCGTCAAATCAATTTTTTTTTTTTTTTTNGTGATATAATTTCACGAGCCAAAAACCACTTTTTTCACGAGTTACGAACAAAATTTTTCATCACAATGTGTCGGAAAGTTACTTCTCCGATACAGCGTGATGAAAATAAAATTTTGTGTTCAATCGAGAGGAACAGGATTAAAAAATGTTGAGATGAAAACTATATGATTCTCACCAAATTGTTCTATGGGATCGAGCGATAAAGATTGACTGAGAGTCATGTCGACTAGACGATTGAAATACTGATTAGAAGGAAGAATAATTAACATCAGAAGTCCATTTTATTAATTATTTCTCTTCTCTTCAGTGAAGCTTAATGGGAAGAATTTGGAGGGATGGAATTACGATAATGAGGATCCCAGTTTGAACTATGTTATTTAAAGTTTTCTTCTATGAACAAGTTTTGAAAAAGATACGAGGGTCATAATGGTCACGAGGGGTGAAATAAATGAGGTACAAGGGGTTTCAAGATCCACAAAAAAAAAAGTCCCAACTATTCACTTACGCACCTCACACAAACAACAATCGTTCTTTGACACTTGATCACTCGATAGCAAATCACCGCTTTTTTCCAGCCATTGTCGTCGCTTCTCAATTTTTTTCACACTGGGAAGGGAGAAAAAACGATAATTATCCTTAGAAGATGCTTTGCAATTTATAATTGCACACGATTTAATCATTTTACATGAATCAACTCGCGCAGACTGTTCAGATCTATTGGAGTACGTTTTGGAACAGACATAAACAAACAACATTCGCGAGATATTTTCGCGCGAAAAATAAATATTGTTCAACATTGGACAAAAATGCATTTTCATTTTATTTTCAATGCTATTATATTGAGCAGTGATTTCACTCTCAATCTTGGTAATTATTTTCAGTAAAAAAAGGAAGAATTCACCTATTATAAGATAAAAATCACCCCTTAATGAAAGGGTGAGCGGGCCATTGACTATTAAAGAAATAGTACATGAAAAACCAAGAATATATTTGCATTTTTTTATTTTTCTTCGCATTGTACATGTAATTTTATACGGGGCTAATTATTTTGACTTAAAATATCAATTTCATAACGTTCCCTCCAGCAAAAAAACTGCCAGTGGTGGGAGACTAAAGGAGATGAGGGGAAGCGTAAGTGGACCGGAACGCCGCTTCTGGCGCTCCGGCGAACTTGTCCCCTGTTTTCTGGCTTCATCATACCTGCTTGTATCATACCTTAACGTTTCCCATACCGTTGAGGGACCACCGTATACTTGGCGAATAAATTACATATTTTTCAAAAATAATCAATGTAATGATTAGGAAATGATTTGGAAAAATTTAGAAACGCTTTTTCATAATTTGGAAACAAATAGTTATTCAGTAATTAATAAAAAAACTGTTGGACCGTATACTTGGCAAACATTAACCGAAATTAATAAAATTTCACTTTAATTGATGTAGGACAATTTGGAAATAATAGTGAGAATGTTTTTTCCATTTGGAAATGTAATATTGCATCGAAAATTAATAAAAAAGGAATGAAGTTATTATTGTTCAGGAGTCACGTGACCGAGTCTTCCCCTTCCCATCACTTACTCCATTTACGTATAAAAAAAGTGAGGTTATGTCCCTCTCGCGGACTTGAATGTTCCCCTGTAACGTACCTTCAAACAATCTCCTGAAAATTATGAGTAAGTGGTTGAATGAAAAATTGACGACATTTAAAAACAAAATCACTGGACCCCTGATAAAACATGAAAGGATTTATAGAGAGGCAGACAGTGTCGGAGTGTTTCGTTGCTGAAATCTCTAAGCATCAGAAGCCCAAAGCCCCCAGGAAAGGAAAATCCATGGAGATGAAATACTAAAAAAAACCCTCCCAATTCCCTAAAATCAAAACTAAAAAAGCTGGCGAAATCTCCGAAAAATGAAGACAGATAACAGATAACTGGCAGGAGACGTTCGAGCTCTCCAGTGGACGAAATGGGCTGCCACAAAAGTGGTCGGACGAAAAAGCGAGTCTTTCAGATTTTCGATTCCAGTTGCTGCTAGATCTTGTGTTGATCAGTCAAACAAAGGATTAGGTGACATATGCAGCTATGGAGAGACTCCAAAATTATGGGTGTACTCCGGATCTTCTGATTGAATTTCCTAAGAAAGAAAATCTGAATTTCCTAAGAACATTGTCAAGACTCCTGACAATGTTCTTAGGAAATTAATTCATCCTGTTAGTTTTTATGAGATGAAGAAAATTATTCAAACCTTCTGAAAAGTTTGGAAAAGTAATGAGCTATTCGATCACTGTGAATAGTTTTCTGAACCTGTTGGTTTTAAAGGGAAATGTTAAAAAACATTTTTCAAAGACGTGAAATTCTCTACAAAAAATGTCACTTCATGATTTTTTTTTAAAGCTGTGTCCTTCATATATTTTGACAAAAGGAATATATCATCCTGTTTGGAAATGTTTTTGTGAACAAGATTTGATCCTAATTTTTTTCTAATTTTTTTCAGCCCGAAGTCCAGTATATTAAGAAAAATCTCTAAAGTCGAATTAGCTGAAAACACTCGAGGTTCACTGAGAATTGAAGTTTTTGTAGCCAATAGTTCGGGGGTCCAAGTTTTCACACAAAAATCACCTGAGAGAATGCCGAGATTGAACTCCGCCTCTCAGGAGCTTCAGAGGGAAACGAAGAGTTTTGAGAATGCCCATGGCTCCAAGAGCTGACAAAAAATGCAGTCATCCACAACGCCCTCCCCATCGGGGGAGAGTATTGATGGTCATAGGATGTAAGTATTTTTTATAATAATTATATAGTAGATTCTGTCATTGAGGCCATGAAAAGCTTTTCTGGCGTTTGTGTGTTTGCAGTCCGAAGCAAAGTCAAAGATTACAACAAAATCGCCAGAAAAGTTGTCTGCCACCGACTGACGAACTTTTTTTTCGTTATCTAGTCCGTGATATGAGGCTTCATGCCCGTCTGAATAAATTTTTTTTTTGTAGATTACCGAGGTGTTTTCACTGTGATGAATATCTTCTACATGAGGAGAAATAGCAAAATTTTCATATGATTTTTTTAGCTCACATTTCGCTCTACAAAAAAAATTCCATGGAATTTTTCTTAACTGTCCCCACTCGCGAGATATCCACCGACAACGGACCCTAGATGCGTAGTAATTATCGTAGTTTGCCGATTCACTACAAATTTTCAATTTAAAAAAATGCTCAATGGGCACATTATTCGAAATTCCTTGAAGTTTTTTTTCTTTCTCAATTAGAATTTCATAATCATTCAATTTATTACTTTTAAACCTGAATAGACAATGGAGGAAAGGAAATCAAATGAAATGTTGATATTTAAGTATCATCAACAGTGTAGCTAACTGATAATGAGAGGAATATTTTTCTAATTGTGAATGCCGAATGATGCGAAATAAGCAGCCATTAACGAGGCTTTCCGGGTAATAGGAAAGTCTTCAATGATTTCAAAGTCTTCTGCTCACGCTTGCTACAGTTAGTGGGGACGATATTCCAGGATTATTTGAGTAGCTCTAATAGATATTTACGAATTTTCATCGCCATTCTTTGTCGAAAACATTTATAGATGATTAAATTATGTTGATAATCAGCAACTTTAGGAGAACATTAATCGATTTTTCTTTAATTTTTTCTAATTCATCAACCTTCAGAAATATTTGAATTATCTCGATTACGAGTGATTTTAGAACAAAATGTCAGAAGACCTTTTTTATAGAAAATGTAATGACCTCCACAGAATATACTTCGACATTGTCTCTGAACTCTCTAATTTCGAAGATATTCCAAAAAACGTGGGATAAAATTGTTTTAATTCCATTTCTTTTAATTAATTCCTCATGAATCTCAACGAAAAATTCTGTATCACCTTACCGAAAAAAAAGCCTCTCCCCAAACTCAAAATTTCACGAAATCATTCGACTTTTCAGGAGTGGAGTTGGAGTAAAACAAATAACAGCAGACAAAAAATTGACGAAGAAGGCGCAGTTTAAGCAGGAGAGACCTATGAACAAAATCAAGGGTCAGACCAAAAAGAAACTAACAATAGAAATTAATAGAAAAATCTGTACTTTATTTTGTAAATAAAATCATTTCATATCAAGTGTTCTTTTTCATTATTCATTCAACATTAATATTTTACGCTACGAATCAATTATTATTTGTTGAATCTCGAGTAGAACAGCATGATTGATAAACGATATTCGAAAATTATGGATCATGCATCGACTTTCAGAAGAGAAGTGGTAGGAAGTGATAGAACATTAAGAATTTTTTTTATCCTGGTCAGTGTCCCAATTATTTTGAGTGTTATCAGGGGAAAAGAGCAAAAGATTTTTTGTGGGACGCTGTCCACATTGAGGATGCTCAAGGAGACATCTCCTAACCGAAACCAACCAGCAGGTAATTGATCTCAGTCCAGCGATCCTTAGGGGGGGCCACTCCACCAATTGCGTCCTTATTCCCTCTGGTGTCTTCGCCTGTCCCTCCACCAAATTGAAACGATTGCTGATGCAGTGGACGTGTATGCAGATGTGGCCCACCTTGAGACCGCCCTGATGAATTAAACCCAGAGTTAACACTGGGTTCACTATGGGTTAATGGAACTTTCGCAGACTTTTTTTCTTCCTTCACTGGGTTTTCCCTATAAACCCAGAGTTGACTCGGAGTTAACTCTGGGTTTGATCGATCAGGGTGACTTTTCGAAAAGAACAAAGTCCTCCGATTGTGTCTGGAATGTCACCTTTGCGGTCTCAAAGGAGGACTTTACAGATTTTTCTTAATATACTGGACTTCGGGCTGATAAAAATTATAGAACAATTAGGATCAAATCTTGTTCACAAAAACATTTCCAAACAGGATGATATATTCCTTTTGTCAATATTTGAAATGTTTTTTTTACATTTCCCTTCAAACCCAATAGTTTCAGAAATATTTTTGTAGGATAATTATTGAAACAATATCCTCATCTTATAAAAATTAACAGGTTAAATCTAAACAGGATTAGAAATAGGTTTAGGAGTTCTAAGCTGGTTTTTCATTCCTTTTGTCAAAATATATGAAAGACACAGCTTTAAAAAAAATCATGAAGTGACATTTTTTGTAGAGAATTCACGTCTTTGAAAAATGTTTTTTAACATTTCCCTTTAAAACCAACAGTTTCAGAAAACTATTCACAGTGATCGAATAGCTCATTACTTTTCCAAACTTTTCAGAAGGTTTGAATAATTTTCTTCATCTCATAAAAACTAACAGGATGAATTAATTTCCTAAGAACATTGTCAGGAGTCTTGATCAGAAGATCCGGAGTACACCCATAATTTTGGAGTCTCTCCATAGCTGCGTATGTCACCTAATCCTTTGTTTGACTGATCAACACAAGATCTAGCAGCAACTGGAATCGAAAATCTGAAAGGCTCGCTTTTTCGTCCAAGCACTTTTGTGGCAGTCCATTTCGTCCACTGGAGAGCTCGAACGTCTCCTGCCAGTTATCTGGAACCCATTTGTTGTTGCCCAGCTGATTATTTTCCTCCTCTTCATTTTTGGGAGATTTTGCCACCTTTTTTAGTTCTCATTTTAGGGAATTAGGAGGGGTTTTTTTTAGTACTTCATCTCCATGGATTTTCGATTCCTGGGGGCTTTGGGCTTCTGATGCTTAGAGATTTCAGCAACGAAACACTCCGACACTGTCTGCCTCTCTATAAATCCTTTCATGTTTTATCAGGGGTCCAGTGATTTTGTTTTTAAATGTCGTCAATTTTTCATTCAACCACTTACTCATAATTTTCACGAGATTGTTTAAAGGCACGTGACAGGGGAACATTCAGGTTCGCGAGAGGGACATAACCTCGCTTTTTTTATATGTAAATGGGGTAAGTGATGGGAAGGGGAAGACTCGGTCACATGACTCCTGAACAATAATAACATCATTCCTTTTTTATCAATTTTCGATGCAATTACATTTCCAAATGAAAAAAACTTTCTCACTATTATTTCCAAATTGTTCTACATCGATTAAAGTGAAATTTTATTAATTTGGGTCAATGTTTTACAAGTATACGGTCCAACAGTTTTTTATTAATTACTGAATAACTATTTGTTTCCAAATTATGAAAAAGCGTTTCTAAATTTTTCCAAATCATTTCCTAATTATTACATTGATTATTTTTGAAAAATATGTAATTTATTCGCCAAGTATACGGTGGTCNTCAATGTTTTTGCCAAGTATACGGTCCAACAGTTTTTTATTAATTACTAAATAACTATTTGTTTCCAAATTATGAAAAAGCGTTTCTAAATTTTTCCAAATCATTTCCTAATTATTACATTGATTATTTTTGAAAAATATGTAATTTATTCGCCAAGTATACAGTGGTCGTTGAGGGCGCTGTTTTTCCTCAATATGGTCGCTCTGAGGCGCTCATATACGGGTCTACCAAACCCAAAAATTGGTTGTGTGTGTGTGTGTGTGTGTGTGTGTTTTTCGTCTGTGGGAGAATGCATTTACGCACGACCACTTGAGGGAGGGGACAGCAGGATGCCCCCGTCAAATGAGTGTCGGACTCGGACAAAAACTGTCAATACCGACTAAACTCCAGTCAGACATATTTCCAATAACCTTTCATCCCCTCGCGGCACCACCGTAAAGTATTACTTCGCGAGGGAGGTCTCAGCTGTTAGCTCTTCCACGTTTTTTCATCTGATGTACGCCCCCCATCCCGCTAAGATGTTCTGCGTGATTTGGAGGTTCCAATAACATTTCTCACCTATACTGCAGCATTGCGCTTTCGTTCCTCATTTCTGAGCTTCTTCATAACCTCGGCCGCAAAGTTACACGTCGTGTCCCAGGCTGCCTTTGATGACAACATTGCGTCCACCAGGCCCTCAGGTTTGACCTCTCTTCCTAGGTCGGACTCCCACGTACTTCGGATCTCATTGAAGCGGGGGCATGTAAAGAATACATGCTCTGCATCTTCGGCGACTCCTGTGCAAACTGGGCACTCCGGGGAATCTTCATGTTTGTATTTGTGAAGATACGCCCGGAAACACCCGTGTCCTGAAAGCATTTGTGTCAGGTAATAATTGACCTCTCCGTTTTTTCGACTTACCCAGACGGCCAACTGTGGGATCAGGCGATGAGTCCATCTGCCCTTGGTAGAGGCGTCCCACTTTCGCTGCCATCGTTGTAAGCTTCTACGCCTCTCGTCTGCACTGAGCTCTGCTGCGCTTTGTGTTTCCGACTTCTTGCGTCGATACAGAGACTTTCGCTCTTCGGCCAATACCTCAATAGGTAACATACCGGAAATGACGCATACTGCATCCTCGGACACCGTGCGGTATGCACTCGCTACT